GACTTATTAACGAAATTGAATACGGACTTATTACTAAAACTTAATACAGACCTATTAACTAAAACAGAAATACTAGATTGTCAAAAATTGTGAATAATTCCTGTCCATTTTCCCTGTTCTTCTTTATAGAACTATTCCTACTTCCACTTCTTAGACCAGTTACTTCGTTACATAACGAATCAATTTGCAGGATATTAAAAGTAGTCCCTTATTAAATACATTGATAGTTCCTTATTAGTTACATTGATGCCTACAAGGCTCACTAATTTCAAAAATTCACAAAGAGTATACCTTCTAGGGATGAAGTCCAGACGTTTTCAATTCTACGAAGTTCTATGAATCTGCGTCTATGGGAAGGAGAATTGATCCTTTGTCAAATAGTTATATTTTTTAAAAACAATAATATATACGTAAATTCTATGATGTTTACTCAATGTTATGCATATCTTTTATTTGTGAACTATACAACACGATTCTAGGAAATATTTGTTTTGTCATTCGTTTCCCTAGTTCAAGTAATAAAATTATGTCGGGATTCTTGATATAAGCCGTTGGCAAAAGAAATATTGAGCGTAACAGGTAAAAGAAAACAGAAAACATAGTCTCGAACTAAACATTACTCCTTTCTCTAAACAAATAACAAATTTAATAATGAACGTTGCAAGCACGTCAATTGTTATTCGGTATTTGGTTGTCAAAACATTATTTAAAAAAAAAGCTGGTGTGTGTACTTACGTACGCACGTAAGAAGTTATACTTCTATTCTTTGGCGTACCAAAACTAATATAACATCAATAACCTCAAAAATAACTTCAAAAAAATAACCTCAAAAAAAAAAACAACATCAAAAAAACTCCAACTATCCCGAGTGCCCATATAATACTTACTTTAAATTCGTCAATAAGACGATAAAATGATAAGATAAAATAAAGATATTTAACAAAGTTTATTTATACATGAGGAAGAAGAAGGGTTTAATTAAAATAGGAAATATCGCTTTGTTCGTTGGTTTCTCTGTAAATTCTTCGCTGGTTGTCTAAAACGTATCGTCGTAGGCGTCCAGTGAAAGAATAGGACGAGTGTCTTTGTGATGTACCCAGCAGGGCGTGCTTAGAAATGGTTTAAAGAGTGGGGAGGCACGATAACAACATCTCGATATTCTCAAAATGATTGAGCCGCGTATTTCAAATATGCGCTAAGTATCTATAATCTTTACAAATGGTACATAAATCGTTATCAGGTTGAGTGCCATACGAATTCTGAAAGAAATCCTGGTCAGGCCACACTCGTTATTTAGTATTGAATAAATGTAAAATAAATGTAAATAACTTCAAATAACTTTAAAAAATAAAGACCAAACAAATAAAATAAATAATAAGCAATAATATTAGTTTTTGCTGTGAAATTTAAATTATTGAAATTTGTACCGGTAATCGCAGGCTAAGCCGATGGTTCGCACAGTAAATTAGAAGTTGCCGGAATATATAAAATTCCATTCGTGGACAATTCATATCCTAGTGCAATCATTTTTCTTCGCAGCCTATACTCCTTTACAACGTTCTTCATTAATTTGTGTATTGTTTTCCTTATTTTCCTTATTCTTCTTCCTTCGAAGAAGATATTTTTTACATTTCTTTGCATTTGTTTTAGGCATCTCGACAACTTTAACAGAAATTCAAATGTATACTGATCCTAGTCAAAAACACCAAAATGTAGATATCAGTCCATACTAAATATAAGGGTGCTATATCAAATTACTTTATGCGTCAACGGGTATGGTGCGGTGACAGCACTAGTTCCTGCTCGATCATTTAAGTCAAGCAGTACTTGAGTACGATCAGAGCTTGGATGGGTGACCGCTTGAGAAAAATTTGAAATCGCTTTGCCCACGCATCGTAAGTATTCGAAAACTTCGTAGTGTCGATTTTTCGGTCGCATCTTAAAATTTACTCTGATCACTTTTGCCCAAACGCCCCAAAAGAAGTATAACCTCAAAAATATTTATTGTTTTAATGCAATGACTGTTGTATTATATAAAATTTTTTTTTACGATTTTTTCTCTTGCTACAATACAATTTTTCTATTTAATAATGTATCAAAATGTGTAACTTACAAATTACAAATATAATAGCCATGATATTTTTAATATATCTTCATTCTTATAATTCTTACTTTAACATTTATTTTCCAATTATGTTACATTATTTATAATTTTCATTATATTATACATAAATGAATTTGACAAATAATATTGGTATAATATTTTTATATTATTATTAATTTTGTATTCCCCAATTTATCCAATAACTTTTCGGCATCTAAAGAAATGATCAGGTTTGTATCCTTTACGACACTTTCGAGGTGGCAGAATAAATATCGGGCCTCTAGGTTGTGCAGAGCTAGAACCAATTGCATAACCTTGAACTGTGTTTGTTGAATAAATGATGCACATTAAAAATACGCAAACTATTGAAAGAAAACGCATGTTGATTATTTCCCTAAAAAATTACAAAATAACAATATTTTTTATTTCAGAAAAAAAATTCACTTTTTGTTTCATATTTAAAATATTATTAAATTAATCAGATAAAATTCCAATGACGTAATAAACGTATAATGAGATCATTTAATTTTCGTTATTAGCATTAAATTATTGCTATACTTACGTAAACTAAGATGGTCGGAAAGTTCAGAAAATTCGAAGTTATTTTTTCTTTTTTTTGGAATAACCAAATGATTTTTTCTAAGTCGATGCAGTTGTGTTGCTTGAGTATCTACTGTAACGCTGTTCAAACATCGTATTTATACCTTAGAAAGTAAAATATTATTCTATTGTTTAAAGCGCGTTATCATGCGTTGAAGACGTTAAATTTATTTTTAGAATTTTAGAATTTTAGGCGATTGCAATTTTTTGTATCACGTTTTCTATTTTCATTATATTTTTTTTTATTATACGAATTTCCTTGAAAATATTAGTTTGATTAACGACACGTTGTAATTTTGACTATCAAATATTAAAATTTGCAATGTTTCATCGTTTCCAGTTTCATTATTTCTATTAACATTATACTTTGTTACAACAAATATGTTCTAGATCTGATAAGATTGGAAATAATCAGAAGCAAATTATATTTCATTTTCGTTTCTCTTATTTTTATTCTCCAAAATTGTTTTACGAAAAAAAAAATCAATCGAAATAATGATAATTACATTTATTTAAATTAGACAAAAAGAAATATGATATATAATATAACATTATGTAATAATAAAAATAATAATATTAATACGTAGGATAGACGGTTAATATTAGCCCCTCAGTAATCCCCGCTTGTCGTAAAAGCCAACAAATAGAGAAAGATTCTAAAAAGAGGATATAAAAAATATTAAACATTGAAACTTTAACCAAGTGTATACTTAGCGCAATTTTTCTATATCCAGACGAATACGATCATTAGTATCTAAATTGTTTTTTTTTTCTTCTTCTTTTAATTACATTTTTATCTTTCTTTTATTTAGTAGTTTAATATATATATATATTTTTCTCATTTTTTTTTTGTTTTTGAAACACGTAAAATTCAAATACTAACAAACTATAATATATCTATAATGTTAATCGCCAATAATTTTTGCGTCACGAAATAATCTCAATCGTATAAGTGTTATTATATGTATATTAAGATTAAAAATTATGCCAAGTTTAAAATTTTACTCGGTTTTTATTTGCGTTGACTCGACACTTTTTAGAACGACCTAGTTCCACTTATTGCACGTGTGTCCAGTAATTTATTTGTTATTTTTTAATTCAAACTTTAAATTTAAATCGTAATTAGTTTGAGTCGGATTTAAATCGGTAATTTTTTATTACAAAACTTGAGATCCATTATTGGAAGAGTTAATAGTTTAATCACATAAATATAAAGGATAAATATTCAATTAAAAATAATCGAAAAATTAATTGCTAGAAAGTCAAGAATATGCTGTACTATCAATCTTTATTGAAATATAAAAATAATATATTTACTTTTAATTTTGAAGAAAAATATATAATATATGAGCCGTTTATTTTGAAAGTGGCCTAACTCCATTTGTCAATTATTTCCGATTACGTATGGTTACATGTAAAACTTCAAATTATATATCAATAAAGCATTTAAGATTACTTATATTCTGAATAAATACGGTAATTCTGAACACATAAGTTTTCAGAGTTAGTTGAATAACTGAGCCGTTTATTTAGAAAGTGGCCTAAGTCCATTTACACTTAAATTACGTCTACATCAGTAGCATTTTATAAACGCAATATAACAAAAGCGCTAATAATAATTTATTGTTTGTCCCCCAAGATTATTACAATATTATCGAAAAGTGTCGGAAAGGTAATAACTTTATTGTACATGAAATGAGACAAAAAGATTTTCTATTAACAAAATTATTAGAAGACGCAATTTTTTAAAGGGTAAAGAATTCTAACGGAGAACCAATGAACTGGTTAAAAATATGTTGGATGCGTTTTGTCAAAAATGAACCGTATAAAATTTTCTATAAGACATCAATGAATCAGAACGAAAATTTTAAAGTTCTGAATTTATTACCACGTCGGGCTAGACCAAGAAAGTTCGAAAATATTGTATTGACATCACTATATAAAAATATCAGACAAATTACAACCGCAAAATTCAAGGACATAATTGACTTATTACTATATATACCACCAGAACATCATGATTTCTTTAAATCCCTTTCACATACACAAAATGTAGATGAGTAGAAAATTGTTTTGTAATTTATATTTGTAGAAAATGTTTTGAATCGTATAATTTATGTTTTTAAAGTGTTACAAAGATATGTAGAATAAAATAAGTATTGTTTTTTTTTTCAATTTGAAGCATCTTAAATTATGTTGAATGGACTCAAATTTTATAACGAATCTGGTTGTTAGTTTTGAAAATGACCTAACTCCATTCTTGGTAAAAAAACGCATATAGTTCACTTAATAATTGCCATTATTTTAATAGCAACTGTAAATTTAACACCTTTAGATACACTCATTGGTATTCTGTACGTATATTTTTAATTGCATTGAAACACAAACCCTTAAATATCTCAATTTAAGTATAAATGGACTTAGGCCACTTTCAAAATAAATGGCTCAGTTATTCAACTAACTCTGAAAACTTATGTGTCCAGAATTACCGTATTTACTAGGAATATAAGTAATCTTAAATGCTTTATTGATAGAGATAATTTGAAGTTGTACATGTGTGTTACGTTCGTTTTGGTATGCTAAAGAAGTATAACTTCTTACGTGCTTACATAAGTACACAAACCAGTTTTTTTCTTTCAGATCCAAGTTATCTTGCACATATAAATGGGCACTTTTGGCGTAATTAAAATGATTTCAGGCGTAAAACGATGCAGTAATCTTTGTATAGAACGTTATCTTAACACTATGACGTCTGGCGACACCACATTGGTGTCATGAACAAATGTTGCAATATCGCCGGATGCACCAAATTGGTATGATGCACAAAGCGTATTTCTACGTCTGGCGACATGCAGTTAGAATACGGCCGGGTGTACGCGAAGTAATCCGAAATAGCTCTGCTGATGCCAAGCGAAAAAATTTTTTCGAAACGCCCGGACGTCAAAGTGTTAAGGAACTCACATATCTACTTTCATGAGCTCCAATTTATTTCTATTTTTCTGAAAGTAATCTCTTAAACACAATCAGTTCCTGCACGTGGTTTTTTTTACAGAAACATCGGCCGTTAATTCATCGTGCTTTAATTTTGTGACTCGCGAATAACTCGTCGGATTTTAATATAATTCTTACAGATATCAGAAGAATGAATATAATCTAATCGATCGTATTTTAACCAATTTTTTCTCAAAAATGATTCACCTTTATACTACAAACTATTTATATACGAACTCATTGTACAATATAAATCATCGAATCTCATTTGAAAATACCGTCGCTATTTTTTCCGTTACAACTATTTATACATTTTTAACTAATCGTTTAAAGAAACCACCTGTCTGATATGGACATAAAGAACCTTAAGAAAACCTGGATTTAGTAATAGCGTCAGAACAAAGAAAGTTTGGGAACCGTTGCCGTCATTTCGAACAACACAATCCTGTATAAGTGTTTCAGAAATTTATTATCATATTAATAATACAATCAAAAATTAAACAATCAATAGAAAAGAATAATAAAGAAAATGATTTTACTTTCAATTTTCAAGTTCTCTCTGAATCTCTATGAAAGTCTTGCCTTTGGTTTCTGGTGACAAATGATACAACAAAGCCGTACTTAGCCAAACGAGAAGACAGAATCCAAAAAAAGGAAGACTATGACCATAGTTCAAAGATATTGCTACAAGGATATAAAGGTTGCCATTAATTATTGCAAGTATACCAGCAATAATACCGAGAATACATGAACTAAGTACTTTGACTTCCGCAGCGAAGATTTCAGATATCATGATCGTCAAAATACTACAGAAGCCTAAGTTACAGAAGAAGATTGATGAAACAGATGCTATTATTGGCATAAGATAATACGAAGATACGTCAGTGTTAAAAAAATCCTTGGCACAAAAGTAAGAGCCAATCGTTAAATCGCAAAGGCCAGTGATGATACCTGATACGAGAATTATTAGTTTACGACCTAGTCTATCGACAAAACAACCAGTTACGATAGAGGATAATAGCAACGTAATACCCGCAACTATATTTATTGTGTAATCTGAAATTGTACTTAATATTTCACTGAAGATCATCTGTCCATAAAAAATTAACGGTAAGTAACTACTAAAATAATTATTAAGGGTCAAGAGAAAAATAATAAAGAAAGCTCGTCGATGTCTTCTGATCGTAAATATATCTTTCAACGTGCTCCAAAATCTCATTTTCTTATTTCCCTCTTCCTTTACGAATTGGTCTATCCTTGTTAATTCATCGATTACATCTGTCTTACCTCGAAATTTTTGTAACGTCTCCTCAGTCTCCTCCATTCTTCCTCTCATCGCCAAATAATATGGCGATTCTGGTATAAAAGAAAAAAGAAAACCAAAACAGATCGACAGAAAAAGGAAACCAGCCGTTGTGTTGTTTATCGAATAATAGGGCACTATTATATAAGATACCAAGATACCAAGATTGCACATGAAGCTAATCATGGTTCCGTTAGCACCTCTCGTTTTTACCGATGATATTTCGCCAAAGTATATTGGAGCTACGAGGAATCCTACTCCTAGAGAGATGCCAGACAAAAATCTGGCTAGGTACCACATCTGTAAGCGTTAAGAAAAAGAAAAAAATATCAGACACTTTGTCGCACATAATTTTTATTATTTAGTTTTAAATCGGGTAAAATTTAGCCATAGTTACTCATTTTATCTTATTCGCTGTGATAAATAAACTATTGCGTAAAACAGAAATATACAACGGACGATTCAAATGAATCTCTACGAACTATTTTGCTAGAGCATAAATTTTACCGTGGAAAACCGAAGTCAAGATTTACGTGGTGTATGTCCGAAATAGTAATGTGTAAGAATAAACCCAAATATTTGGTCTTTTACTGACTGAATCTGTTGACATTTTACTTTGTGAATCTTGACATTCCCTAATTTTGATGCTTACGATAATATATGTGAGGATTCAGAATATCTTAGAAGTGTGTGTGACCATAGTGTTAAATTTTCTACAAAAGAGTGGATGTGTATGGTATGAGTGTGTGTGAGATTGTGAGATTGTAACGAAGAAGAAAGAAAGCGTTTCCTGTAGATATGTTTGTTTAGATAGTAAGACTACACCGTCCGAGCATTGTCGCCTTTGTGWAGCTCCATCGAAATCTCTCGAACGTTCTCGCTCCGGAAGTACGGAAGTGATCCGTTGTTTATGAGGGAGAATCATCGAGAGGTTTCTGGAAGGAATGGCAGGAAGTGATGAAAGACGACGGAGAGGGGGAAGGGCATAAATAGGCGTTGGTAGGGACCGGACAGCGCATTCCATATTCGGGCATTCCGTGATAGTTCTTTAGTTTACGCAACAATAGATTATAGATTATTCACCATTCTATCTCTTAAAACCATTATACCGAAATCGTTTAGCATTACTGCTAAGCGTTAATGATTAGATCATTATTATTACCTTTTATATTTTATTCAAATTATAATAAATTAAAATCTTACATATATATATATATATATTAGGGTGAATCAAAAATAAACTTTTATTTTTTTTTTGGATCTGACACACAAAAACTTGTTGCTAGGYACCTTTAGAAAGTACTCACCCAGTATGGGCTCTTAATTTTAATAGGAAGATCCTCCTCATCGCGGTTTTTTATTTTTTTCTCAATCCAACAGAAAAAAATTCATACCTCCTCATTAATTGATTATACGAAAAAATGTTTTAATCAAATTTTGTAGGAAATTCAATGTTCTA